CAGGTGCCGTGGCCTAGGTTTCTCACTGAAAATCCTCGTCCCCCGGCGGCACCTTTTTTTGAATTTTCTTCCTTTTCAACGCCGTTTTTCGGGGATTTCGGATTTTCTTTGAATTTTTTCGCAATAATATTCGGAAAATAGAGAACTTTTAACACATTTTAATGCAATTAAAATATTTGGTCGGAGTCCCCTCTTAATTAATAGATTCCGAACAAAAACTGCGAAGAAAACGGCGAAAAAAGAAGTAAAGTATCCAAAATAAGAAAAAGAAGTTCGGAAAATAAAAAACAAGAATTTCTTCGCGATTGTTCAATTGTGGACCTTTTATAGGGCCCAGTTAGTAAGATACGCATTTTGCTCGCGAATGGTCAATTGTAGAACCTCTCGTTCGCGGTAGATAAGTAATCGGTCGATTATAGCCCTTCTTCTGTAATTGGTCAATCACGAATCACCTGTGGGAGGTCATGGGTTCGACTCTACCCTGTGCTATTTCCTTTTTTTTTCATTTTTGTAGTCCTTCTCATCAATCCTAATCTATTTTGCAGGTTTTTTCTCTGATTTGTGATAATCCCTCCATTATCCATGACGTTTAGCTTCTTCTTTTTACTGGATCCTCTCTTTTTGTTTTAATTTTCCAGGGAAACATCAGTAATCCCAATGTTTTTAATGAAGGGATTCATAATACGTAGAGGAAAAAGTGGGCGGGGCTTTTAGGTTTGATCTAAAAAAATTTTTGAACTGGAAACAAAAAATGAATGATTAATTTATTCAAATTCTGGGTTAATGAGGAACTATATTCTATCTAGAATGAGCAATTTCAAGGATTGGATAGAGGTGAGAGAGTTCGATAGGGCGCACTTGCTCAAAAATTTCAGGTTTAGTATTACCTGATGTAAAATTTTGATTGGAAACATTTCTAGCGAAAAATTAAGGAATTCGAAGCAAGACTAGCAGAATTACAGCGATTTTAAATTTTAGAACGGTAGAGCGCACTTGCTGAAACTTGCTTAATTTTTGTCTTATTTTGTTTGAACACAAATTTCCAGTATTTCTAGCCAAAAATGAAGCGATTTGGAGCAAAACTAGCAAAGTTACTGCAATTTGAACTATTTGTTCGGTAGAGCGCACTTGCAAAATTCTTTTTTAGAATTTTGTTCGATCTGATGCAAAACTAGATTTTGAGCACTTCTAGCCCAAAATCAAGCGATTTGGAGCAAAACTAACCGAGTTACAGCGATTTTAAACTTCAGTTCGGTAGAGCGCGCTTGCCAAATTTTTTTAAAAATTTTATCCTATCTGATGTAAAATCAAATTTCCAGTTTTTCTAGCCAAAAATCAAGTAAATTGGAGCAAAACTAACCGAGTTACAGCGATTTTAAACTTCAGTTCGGTAGAGCGCGCTTGCTAAATTTTTTCAATTTTTATCCTATCTGATGTAAAATTGGATTTGGCGATTTGGAGTAAAATCAAGCAGTTTGGACCAAAACTACCAGATTTATGGCAATTTAAATTTTTAGTTCGTAAGAGCGCACTTGCCAAAACCATCTTTTGGAAATTTTGATTTTTAGGTCATCAAAACATAAAATTACATCATAAGGTTCCGCACCGTATCATATTTTTTCGCTTGAATTAATAATTTTTTTTTTGAAAATTTTGCTTCTCAAACATTCTAATGACATCAGATGACGTTAGGAATGAGATCAGAAGTAGCTCACGTGTCCCTTTAAAGTTTTTCAGCTCTTCTTCAGCTCATTTTGTCACTTTACCTTCTTTTTTTAATGTCCAAAAAAACAATTTTTCTAGAAAATTCCCATTTCCCGCGCCCTCCTGAATGCCCTCCACCCCTCTGTTCGATTGTTGCGCGCGTGGCAGACTGGCTAGCGCTTCCACTTTTGAATCTGACACTTTCGAGTTCGACTCCCGCTGCAGTCCAAAATCTTTTTTCTTCTTTTTAAAAACTATTTTGGGAACGGGAATCTCTTATTTTTGCATTTTAGGTCCCGTTCTAAAGCTGACGTGACTACCACCCAGCCTAGACAAAAGCAATTCATTCTTTTTTTAAAGCTTTTTCGGGACTCGTACCATCCGCTTCCGCCCCCGTTTTTTCGTATTTCTAATTGCTCGCGCGAGCACTGATCATGGACGGAGGGCTGAGCAATAATTGTTGCCACTTTCACGCCTTCTTCTTCTTCTTCTTCTTCCTCTAATTCTCCCTTTTTTCCGCCTTTTAATTTGTCCAATTCGCAACTTTTTTGTGTGTGTATTCTCTGTAAAAAAAGCTAACGACTTGTAGTTTTTTCTCCAATTTTTCTGAAATTGATAGATCAGACACAGGTGTATAAATAATGAAACAATTCGTTTGGTTTTTTTCCGAAAAGCACACAATTTTTTGATCTTGACAATTCTTGCGGAACGCTTCCGTCTAGACTAATCATCATTTTTGGTCCCGTTCAAAAATTTTTTTTCAACTTTTTTCCGAAAATTTAGGTTTCAAATTTTCGAAAAAAAAAATCAAAGCTTTTAAAATCTACCCAATCATAGTTTATATTATTACTCATCTCAAGTTTTGTATACTCACAAAATTCCAAGTCTCTACGAAATCCCTAAACCAAGTTACAGTACTCCCAAATTGTTACTGCGCGTCGCGGTCGCGTTGCGTGCGCATAAAAACTTTAAAGAGTCGTATCTCGCTTCAAGATGATCGTAGAACTCTGAAATTTTGTAGGCAGACATCATTTGACATGGCAAGTCCGTCCCAAACAAAACTTACCTTTTTGTTCTGAAAATTTTCGAAAAACTCGAAATTGCCAATTTCATCCAAACATTGTTCACATTATTACACATCTCAAGTTATGTATTCTCACAGAATTCCAAGTCTCTAGGACATCCCTAGGCCAAGTTACTGTACTCCAAAGCTTCGACCGCGCGTCGCGGTCGCGTTGCGTGCCTATCAACCCGTAAAAGGGGCGCATCTCGGCTCAAAGCGGTCGTATAGCGCTGAAATTTTTCGACCGTACTATATTAAGAACTTTCAACATTTTGACATTAAAATTTAGGATTTCGAGTAATTTTCGAATTTCTACAATTCTGCCATTTGACTATAATCTTAACTGAAAACGGCTCAAAAACGTTGTAGTTTCCTATCAATTCTAGTGTTTTTTAAAATCTAACCAATTTGCTATATCCTCCCACTCTTCCTCATCTTCCATCTCTCTCCCAATATTTGCTCAGTGCCACGTCATCGACAATCTGATGAAAAAACTCTTCATTCTAAAAAGAAACCTACTATTACTACTACTACTACTTGAGAATAGTTATAGTTTTATTTGCTTTTTGTTGTTGTGATTCGTCATTTTTTTTCGAAAAAGTGCAATATGATTTTTTAAATAAAATAATCCTAGAAACCAGAAAAATCGAAATTGTTTGTTCAGCTTGAGAATCAAACACTTCCGGTTAATAATTCTGATCGATTTGAGCTTTTTCTCTAAATTTTTAGTTTTTTTTCCATTTTTTTCCATTTTTATTCATTAAAAATTATGAAAAATTAAAAATTATTAAAAATATAATTAATTAACTTAATAAAAATTAATAAAAATTAAAAAACAAAATAAATAAAATTAATTAAAAATTATTTATTTTAATTTTTTTTACAATTTTTTTTTGAATATTTTTGAAATTGTTTAAAATCCTAGAAACTCTAGAAAACTCTGGAAAACAAAAAATATATCCTAAATCCGAAAACCTGCATTAAAAGCGCCCTTCTATTAGAGGGTTCCCTCTATTAAAGGTG